CAGTATGGAAATACTATGGGAGAAGGGCAGCCAGGGTTAACCCTTCTTAGCTTTTCAAAGTTACCTAAGGATGTGGAAGTGCTGCAATTGCTAGTAGCATGAAACGTTTTTCCTTTCCAGATCAAAAAAGTCTATTTGGCAAGTGGTTTTAAATTTCTTCAAATAACTTTGAAAGAGTCGTGGTGGGGCAGTGGTTAGTTTAGTTTAGTTTACTTTATTGTCATTGCACACGGTACAATGAAATTAAATGCTGTCTTCAGTGTACATTATAACTATAAAAATAAAAGCACAATCATAAATCCTTTACATTCTATATAATTGAAATTGAAAACCCGATATTGCACTATACTGTAGAATTCAATATGGTTATTGAATTAGAATGAGTCAGGAGTTCGATTCTGAATGGCTCAAGGTTGATTCAGCCTTCCATCCTTCCGAAGTCAGTAAAATTAGGACTGAAATTGTTGGGGGCAATATGCTGACTTTTAGAGTGGGCTGTAAACAGTGGTGGGATTCAGCCAATGCACACCGATTTGGACAAACCGGTTGTTAAATTACCCACCACCTTGCTATCAAAGTGGATTCTGGGTACTGTGCTGCAGTGGAGAAATGGGCACTGGATCGGCCGGCACGAAGGAAGGAGAAGGCCACTTTCCTTCCTCCTTCCCTTGTGTTGGCCGCTCCATTGCCTGTTTCTCCATTGCAATGCAGCACACTTTGATGGGATGTGTGTGTAAATTTAACAACCAGTTCGCCCAGGGTCAGGTTGGCCATTGCAGGAGGCTCAACCTGCAGGTGCGCTAGAGCTGGAGGATGTGGATGGGCCACGCCTTCCACGACAACCAACCTGACCCTGGGTGAACCAGTTGTTAAATAATTTGAATCCCACCACTGGCTGTAAAGCACTATGAAGCGGTATATAAGTCTAAGTGGTATTGCTATATTACAGAAATGATTAAGGTAAAGCCAGTTTTTATGGCTCTCAAGTAAAACATATAGCTCCTTCTTTCAACCTCTAGCAATCATAAATGTTGTTTACGTACTGGGCTGCAGGTAAATTAATTACAGTAACTCTGAACTGGCTTATGGGAGCTTACCATTCAAATATTTAATGCCATCATGTTTTAAATTAGTCCAGTAAATTGAAAAATCTGTAACTTGTCAACTTTTCCCTTTCATTCTGTATTTAATGTTGAAAGATTGCCTTTTTATTAAGGAAGTAAATTAACATTTGGGTAGCTTGACAACTTTCAATCTACACAAGTGTGATCCCTGCATATTTCTGCTGTACTAAATTAAATAGGGCCAACTTTCAGTATTTTTGGATGACTTTGAACAAGTAAGGTCTTTAAAGCAGTGCTTCTCAACCTCAGCAACTTTAGATTTCAATTCCCCAAATTCTCCAGCCAGCAAGAAAATGAGCCCAGTTATTGGTCAGGATGACTTGTGCAAGTTAACCAAAATTTCCTGCCAAATTCTTTCCTCTTCCTTCTAAAATTCCTTTTAAAGATTCTCTTTCCATTCTCTCCAGGGTTATGTCTAGTTGACTAGATGTGTTTATTCATACTTTACTTTTTTCTACTATAGGTTACTTTAATATTCTTATTAAAGAAGTCAGTTTCTCTGGTACAAAAAGCTATTGCAGTGTTTAAAACCAGAGTTTTAAACTTGGTTTAAAGTTAAGCATGAAAGAGGTGCTGATTTTATGACAGATGCAGGTTGAAATTGTTATTATTTAGCGTATGATGAAAACTTGACTGAAGAAAAATATGCATATATATATATATATATATATATATATATATATATATATATACATACACACACACACACACACACACACACATATAATCCACGTAACTATACTTCTATGGGGGTATGATCTTATAACTGGATGTCCAGTTCAGCTATCCAGGTGATCACCTCTGGAACTGCTTCATGCAGATCTTCTAGGAAACCAGAGAACGGACAGCATGGGGAATCTTGTTCAATATGTTTAATAGTTTGCATATCAGCACAGTTGCAACAAGGGGAATCTTTCCATCCTCACTGATAGAGGGCAGAGACTACTTCTTCCAATATCACACCTAGTTCTGTTTGATTTCAAATAGACAAAGCAAGGCAGGGCAAAATCAGGTGGTTTGATAGAAGGAACACTAATTGGTTGGGCCACAAGAAGGTCCTTGACCATAGCCAAATGAGAGTTGAAACTGTGAACTGGTGCATAAACCTTTTCTTTCCTTCGTTTTTTTTTTTTCCTTCATAAATTACCATATTTTTCGGAGTATAAGACACTTCGGACTATAAGACGCACCTACCTTTTTTGGTGAGGAAAACAAGAAAAAGAAATCTGCCTCTGCCTCCCAGCAATTTTGCCTTGTTGCAGCAAACAGTAAACAGCAAACAGCCTGCTTTACTTTCATTTTCGTTCAAGCATAGCTTGATTAGCACAAGAAAAAAAAATCTGTTCCCAGCAATTTACCTCCTTGCAGCAAGCAGCAGAGGCCCGCTCAGCAATAGGCAATGGTAATCCTTGCAGCCTGAAACAGCTGAGAGCCGGGAGGCCGATCCAATGGACAATCAACTTGTGCTAATTAGGCTGTGCTGAAGCTGAAATGGGCTGTTTCTTCTTGCTGCTTGCTGCAAGGAGGTAAACTGCTGGGAGGCAGAGGCCAAAGGGTGGGGGGCAGTGGGTGGGCAGGACTACATTCAGTGTATAAGACACACTCAAATTTTCACCCCCTTTGGGGGGGGAAGGTGCATCTTATACTCCGAAAAATACGGTATGTGACATCAAGTCATTTTCAACTCCTAGCAACCACATAGATGAAACATTGATTCTCCATGATTAAGTGTACCTTAGCTTGTAATTGTAAATCTGATTGGTAAAGATGGTTTACTTGTTTTGTTTTGTTTTCTGCAGCACTGAAATTAATACTAAATTGGTGCTTATCAACAAGGCAGTTGTGCTGTTGCAGAACCTCTGTCACTGAAAAAAGCTGTTCTAGTCAGTACAATATTTTTATGAGTGGGGCTTTGCTTTTGTTTAAAGCTTCACTTCAGCCTAGGAGTGATTTCCCTACAACCAATAAGTGCTAATTAATCTGTGATCAAAAGAGCAGACTAGTTTGGCACTTTGGGCAGTCTGTTTGTTATCAATAGGAGGAACAAAGCCAGACTGCTAACGGAATCATGAAGAAAAATACAAAACAGCTCCAACACATATTGTTCTCTTCGTTGTCTTAAATATTTGAAGGATCATCTCTTTCTCATATGAAATTGCTTATTTCTCAAGCTATCTTCTCTGACACTATTGGAATGTGGCGGAATACAGCTCCTCAAAATGCTGTATAAAGATCTGTGAATATTTTCCTCCTCCCCCCTTCAGGAATTGGGATTTTTTTTCAAGGGCCAAATGAGTGGTCTTAATTGATGTAGAAACTACCCATTTTTACAGGTTAACAGAGTTGGAAGGAACCTTGTAGGTCATCTAGTCCAACCCTCTCCCCAAGTAGAACACCCTACACCATTTCTGACAAATGGCAGTCCAACCTCTTCTTGAAAGTCTCAAGTGGTGAAGCTCCCACAACTTCCGAAGCCAACTTCTGTTCCACTGGTTGATTGTTCTCACTGTCAGAAAACTTCTCCTTATTTCCAGGTTAAATCTCTCCTTGTTCAGTTTCCATCCATTATTCCTTGTCTGGCCTACAGGTGCATTTCACTAACTAAAAATATCAACTCTATCAGGCCCATGTTGGTTCTGTCCTGCTCACCTCTGGCGTGCAAGAGAACTGAAAGTAAGAGAAATTGTTTGCTCCTGTCTTTGGGTATTCCCCTCTTACGTTATGAAAATGGTTGAAAACGTTAGGTTGAAAATGTTAGGCAGATCTGCCTTCAGCTCTTTACAAAGATGCCCAAAAAAGATGCTTAATGCTCCTTCACACATTTTACCTACGGAGCAGGGTGTGTGTGTTTTATCCTATGAACGATTCCTGAATGGATAGATTGATGTTTGAATTATCTAATCCCACATATTTTGCAAGCCGCTTGGGATTTGATTAGATAGATAGATAGATAGATAGATAGATAGATAGATAGATAGTTACAGACATAAAATATAAATTTGAGTTGCAGCCATAGAATGGGCACTTTACTAGAAAGGCGTGAAGTGACACACCTTAGTTTTATAATAAACTGTTTGCTTTTATCATTTAAATATTTTCCCACAGGAGTGGCAGTTCCCATGTATTTTTAAGATAATGGAAATAATTCCTTATGGATTTAACAGCAAAGTTTATGGCTTACCTTTCACTGGTAGTCTGAATATTCCCTGCCTCTCCCATCCCCAGCTCTGTGTTTATTATTGCACATCTATAATAAGACAATAGGGAGAGAAATCAGGTTAGCTTCCTCTTTATTATACGTTTGGCAGCTGGTGTAGACTATATTGTTCCATTACCTTTTTAATGTTCTTAAATGATGTTTTCAGATTTTATTGTGATGAATATTCTGACTTCTCTTGTTAAGCTATTCTTGTGATTGTGTTTGTTTGATTTCGGTGTATTGTGTGTTTTATGCTACTGCTGCTTTTATCTGATTTCTGTATATTGCTTCAATCACCCAATGGAGAGAGAAGCAATTTAATATATATGTCTAATAATAATATCCACTCTTGCCAGATGGAGAGGGTTTAACTCTTCTAGTGGACTAGAAGGAGTGATGGAAGCAGGAAGGATAAAGAGGATGGATATAGAATTGCTGCATTAGGGAACATATACAAATACCTAAATGTTTATTCTTCTCCAAAAATAATCCAATATATTTGATTTTGATTTGTTGCTATCCAGAATACAAAAAAAAATGTCATTCTGATATTCTATATGTGGATTTTCATTTGTTTCTTAGTTTTTATTACATACACAAATACATACAGATATATGCACAATGAAATGTTGGTGTTTTAATAAATGAAGGGTTTGCATTTCTGTTTCTCCCAACAGAAGCTGCTAAGTACAGCAGTTTTTATGTTTTCTGCAAAAGCTTCTGCCAGGCCGTGAAACCTGGGAAACTCCGGGTTCGTTGCAAAACGTGCAAACAAGGGACACTGACTTTGGCACGGGTAGGTTTAACTTTCTATCTTGTTTGTTAGTTAGTGTAAGTTATTGAAATTTGAAATGGTAAACTGATTAATACTGCCTGTGGAGAAGGTAGCCCCTCATATCTGAAAGGGAAATTGCATGTATTCATAACTGGTAGAAAATAAATATGTTGAACAACATAAAATGGCATGTTGTCCAGTTTGATTACATAAATTGGCCGACATATCAGTTGATGTTATTTGATATATGATATATTCATTTTCTACCAGTATATTTTATTGATTTATTCATGGATGAATATGATATTAGAACTTTGTCCATTGTAAACAAGCATGCTTTATAATAAATCTTTGTAGCATTACCCTAGAGAGATATCCCTAGTTACATTATTATTCATGCTTAGCCACATGACAAAGATCTTTTCAAAATCATATACTCTCTCCTGTTTTTTCAATACCTTCATTTAACCCTGATGATTATTCACTTTCTACTGAGGTTTTCAAGGTTTGGCAATTTTTATCGAACTGTTTTCACATGATGATAGTGACGTAGTTGTGTTGCAAATTAGTCTGAGCATCCTTTATTTTAAAACAGTATCTTTGGGGAACAGCAGGATATGCATTTTTGAAAAATATATTCAATGTGCTTCCAAGTACATAGAGCATATGTGTGACGCACAAGCCAGTTGGGTGTACTGGTTAAAGTGCTGGGATAGAAACCAGGTGGCTGTGAGTTCTAGTTATGCCTTAGACATGAAAAACCGGCTGGGTGACTTTGGGCCAATCATTTTCTCTCAGCCCAACTCACAGGGTGGTTGTTGTAGGGGAAAATAGAAGGAAGGAATATCGGTATGTTTGCTGCCTTAAGTTGTATATAGAAAAAAGGTAGGATAAAAATATCCCTCTCAAAAGTAAGCAGAATTTGTATCTGGCAATGTCCTTGGTGACTTCAGCAGATATAGGCTTCTGTATCATACAAGTTTAGAGTATGAACGGAAATTGCAGTTTCAGCACAAGTGAAGTGCTTCTACCACTCTATACAATTACAGATAGCAAAATCAGTAGACTTTCATGTTAACACTGATGAAGCCCTTCTGTGTCCTCCAAGCTAAGTTACCCTGAGATTCTTTGTAGTTTTAAAGGGATAATAGCCTTCTCAAAAGCTTAAACCCCACCCCAGCTTCAGAGAGGATTTAGATTATCCCATCTCTTGATTCCAATTCCATTAATCTTCCTTCTTTGAAGTAACCACATTTTAACTCTTCTCTAACCTTATCAATGGTTAAGGAAAAAGCAAGCCGGTTTAATAAACTAAAGTTCTCCGTAACTCTGTAAGATAGTTCATTGTAGCTTTCTCCATTTATCTCTATAGCACAAATAATGCTTTATTAGGACTCATGTTGGCTATTGGCCCTTTGAATTAATTGACTAGAAGCCATCGAAACTCACAAATCAAAAAATCATATTTCTGTTCTGTGCATGGAAGTGGAGCTGCAAGATGCAGTTCCCATTGATTTTCTGTTTCTTTCATACTTTTCATTGACTGTTTCAACTTTTGTGTATGTTACAGTAATTAGATATTTCCACAACATCTAATACATCAATGGATTTACTGAAAATTCTGCTATTGGCCTGGTTCTTGTGCTCAGCAATTTTGCAATCAGAATGTAGACTTGATTTGTTTTGAAATTGGCATTTGGTTCCTTTACATATATACATATATATTGACAGTAGAGCCAACAATCCCTCCTGAGAAAGCATATTTTAAGCTAATACTTCCCTAACCTGATGCCCTCTGGATGTATTGGGCTACTAAAGGAGCTGTATTGACAGACTAAAGGAAATTGAAGTGTGAAAAAGAATGGCTTTCTTATTTCTGCTTAAAAATTCCAACCTGTATTAGCTGACTTATGCTGGTCACTCCTTCAATTATGCACCTTGCTAGGTGGTAGTTCCAAGCTGAATTTAAGAGTTGCGGTGGTACAGTGGTTAGAATGCAGTATTGCAGCCTAACTCTGTTGACCGCCAGCAATTCGATCTTGACTGGGTCAAGGTTGACTTAGCCTTCTATTCTTCCTAGGTCAGTAAAATAAGGACTAAGATTGTTGGGGGCAACATAAAGTACTATGAAGCTGTATGTAAGTACTATTGCTGTATTTGGTTTGTCATAAAAAGTAAAGCAGGATCATACCTGATTAGTATAAGGATGGGAGGCCACCAGAAAATCCTAGGAATGTAGGTTAAATTGGAAAATTAAAAAAAAAAAACCCTCATAGAAAACCTCTTTTAAATTTTCCTAGGAAAGCTATGTGGCATATACATGAAGTCACTAGAGGCTAAACTGCCCTTGGAGCACATTTGTTTTATCTTTCCGAAACAATTCCCCAGCCAGAGGTGATGTGTTTTGATTTATTTCATGCTAAAAATCTAGTGCTAACCATCTCACACCTAGAGATTGCTCCCAAAACTACTGAAGTATAAACAAAATATTCTTGTATTTCCTCCCCTATCTTTTATTTAACTTCAACAGAACATAACATAACAGGAGTCTGTTCCCAATAACTGGACTAAATCCAATTTCAGATAATATCTCTGAAGGCATAAATATGTTTTTTCCTCTTTCCTGAATTACTGGATACTTCTTTCTCTTGTCCCATTTGGCATCTTTCAAAAGTTTCCTCTGAGCACATCTGAAAGAGGATTTTTCATTATAATTCCGGGCCCGTATTTCTTTTCTTTCTTCCTATCCATTTATTTTACCACCTAGCAAAAGACCATTTTATGTCATTAACTTGGATGACAGGGTACTTTACATAACGTTTGATTTATAGTTCTCATTCTCCTGCCCCAGTGAAGATTCTCTGTGATGTAAAAAAAAAAAAAAAAGTCAATTCAGAAAGAAAAAAAAAGTGAAACCCCAATTCTTCCATTTCCTTTTATAATATTTGGCTGTTCTGTCCTTGGTAACTATAGTGCTTGCTTACGAGATCTCTGCTTCCTTTTTTATATCAGAGGAGCAACAAAACAGATAAGTTGATATAGCTGAAAAACTAGTGTTTTGCACTCCACTATATGTTTCTTGCAGAAAGTAACTTAAAATGTTTGCTTAAACTTCATCAGTAGCAGAGCAAAGTATAAAGGAGTTTTTGTTTCAGCGAAACCCTTAAATTGGCATTAAAAACAAATTAGCATTAACTTTCTTAAGGAAGTTAATTCTTTGAGTTGGTGAACTAGAAATAGATAACTTAATTGAACTAAATTTTGTGAAAGCCCCCTCTCTCTGGTAAAAAGACCGGCATTGGGAATATTCATAATATAGCCTTATACAGTATTAATCCTTCAACTCATGTTAATTTGTAATACTGTTTTTTTTAGGTTATGTTAGGAGTAAATTCAACATTTACGGAGTCCTTTTCTCCTCCTTTAATGAGAAAAAAAATGCCCATTATATTTAAGGCTGCATTTTATGAGTAGTTCACAACCTACTTATGTTACATATGTTGGATATGTTAGATGAATTGGATATAATTATCAGGAAATAATATTAGCAACATATTGAGGGTTTTTTTTTTCAGACAAACCTGATTATCTTAATAAATATTGCTGGCTTGCACCTTGCCAAACACGCAACATGTTTTCAAATATGTAAAATAGCTATAAGAAGTGTGCTTCGTTTTGTATTCTCAAAAGTTGTTTGATAATTTGTAACACTGCAATATTAAATATCTCACTGTAAAATGTAATTTAATTATAATTCTCACCACCATGCCTTCTTAAAAATTCAAAACTGGTCTAATATCATTTGTCCTGGTTTTGCATTTTTAAATATTGTCTATCCCAATTTGGGATAGGCAATAATGATGTAAAGCCAGTCTTCTCATTATATTTATGCTGATGTCCATATTCTTGCTCCAGTATAGATATTTGTTTAACTATGTGGTTGGGTGGGGTTTTTTTTGATTCTCTGAATATACATAATAAATGTGCATAGTGAAGAAAATCGATAATATGTTCATATACAAAACCCAGACATGATATCTTGATAGCACATAAGTAAAAAGAAATTGAATGAATAATATTCACAGCCATTTTCACTGAGTTCAATGGCATATACTCCCTAGTAGCGTGAGCAACCTGAGACCCCAACATTAATAGGGCCATGACCCTCCTTTCTGTGGAGCCTTTTCCAATCACAGTTGCCAAAAAATAGTGTCATGTTTTCATTCTACTCTGAGTCAAGAAACACATGTACGCTAAAATAATTTTAAGGAGGGTTAAAAACCAACAGCTAAATCAGAAGTGATTCAGAAATTATTAACCCCACCCACATGTTTAATTTGACCAGCTCACTTTGCAATATTGTCTAGCACACATTGTTCTTTTTCATCCTGGAAAATATTGCATTTTATGCGCTGTGGTCTAAAAAAATGTCTGCAACTGTTAATTTTTTTTTTAAGTCTGGCACAGACAAACCCATTGCTAAGCAACACAGCCATAAAGTAAAACATCACAGGACTATGCTCAACTTACGGCATCAGTTCTAACTGTGGTCATTAAGTGAATAAGCAGGATCCCATGATGGCAACTTGTGAGTTCCTGCTGGTTTCCAAATGTCTTTCCTTGTCAGAATCCAGGCATGAAAGTTTCAAATGACAATTGTGTAACTGCAGAATGCTGTGACAAGTCGCAAGTGTGAGGACCAGCTGTCCAGTTCTGTCAAAGTTGAATAGTTGCTGAACAAGCAGTTGGTAAACGAGGACTTCCTGTAATGTGTCTGGTACTCTCAATGGAAATAAACCATATTTTAAAGTTTTAATTAAGTCTGAAAAATTTTATTTGAGCCACTATTTGAAAGGGACTAAATGATTACTTAAGTGTTTCCTCAATGTGGGATGTTGCCTGCTCACTCCAAATGTTTCCTATTCATCACAATGCTGATGGGCTGTATGCAACAAGACCTACATGAAGTCCTATCAACACAAAAATGTCACAAAGATGCTTTGCCCGTTATTCTCATTAAA